TTCTGATGGGAAACATGTCTGATAGACACAGAGATTGAAAACTACCCTAGCCACGCTGCTTTTCTTAACAGATGCTGTACTTTTTTGCATTGCTGCATAAAAGACTGACTACAATGTAGCAAATTAAAACAGTGCACATTTATTAACACAGTTCTGCGGGTCAAGAGTCCAGGCCTGGCTTACCAGGGTTCTGTGTTTCAGGGTCTCACCAGGTTGTGATCAAGGTGAGGGCTTCATTCTCATCTTAAAGTTTGGCTGGGAGGATCCATTTTGAGGCTCACTCAGGTTGTTGGCAGATTTCACTTCCATAAAGCCAAAGGACTGAGGTCTTCAGATTAGACAAACCACCTGCAGTGCTTTGCCACCTGGGTCCCTCCGTGGGCAGGTCATGGCATGGATGCTTACTGCCATGAGGACTGCTGGCCCGACAGCATCTCATAAAAGTAGTGTCATCCCAGCCATTCCATCACCTCTGCCATCATCTATTTCACAGAAACAAGCCACAAGTCCCATCCACAGTTAGAGCGTGAACACCAGAAGACAAAGGTTACAGGGATCATTGAAGAGTCTGGCTATTAAATGCCACAGGTGCTCAAGCCTCTACACTTTTGCAAACACTGTTCTTTGTCTGGTGTGCCCTTCCCAATTTCCTGCTGCCAGGATCCAGCACACCCTTCAGCAAAGTTACTTCTGTGAAGACTTCCAAAGATGTACCTCTGCCTTCACCTGAAGCTTACGCCTCAGCACGTACTTCCAGAACCTTTTGCTCCTAAGGCTATGCCAGCACTCCGAAAAAGATGTGGCTCTGACGGTGAGTGGCCTTCGACAGGTATGAAGGTAGCGTTTATCACAGTGCAGCTGCATGACATGGACTGGACTTCTCCTGGGGATTTAAAAAAATCTTAAAATAGAGCAATCTGGCAGGGGTTTCCTAAGCCTATCCTTGGACTGAATACTTAAGGAGCACATCAAAGGCAGATTCTCCGGCCCAAGACCCTGATTGCATGTACCAGGGCAGGGGTCAGGAATCTGTCCTTATAAAGCTCCCCAGGAGATTCTGATCACCAAGCAGGTTGACACCACAGGTGTGGACCCTCCTCTACAGGATGCAGACTGGATGGACAAACTCTGAGAAGACAGATGGAAAAGGCTGGACTCGTGCCTGGCTTTGCCCTTATCCTGAGTGATTTTTGAAAAGACACTCACTGATCCTCTCCCTGCCTCAGTTGCCTTGGTTAGTAAAATGGAGATGAGGACGCCATCCATCTGAGGAGGAGGCTGTGAGGATTAAACAAGGTCACTGCCTGTACAGGAGGGCACCTGGCACACAGGAGCCCTCCACAAGAGCTACATGCTATCCAAGACCAAACCGGGGTTCAGCTGATCAGAGGCCTGGCCCCGTGAGTCACTGAAGCCCCTGGGGCTAAGGACATCCACCTCTGGGTCCACAGCCCCATCTCTCTACAGATCCTATCCCTGTCTGCCTTACAGAAGTGACTTAACCCAGACAGCCTCCTCCTCCTCCTTCAGACCCTCTCCACCCAGGCTGCAGTGCGGACGGGGACCTGGCCCATGAAGGACTTCACCAGCCGTCCCCAGGGCCAGCTTCCTGTTCCAGGAGGAGAGAGCAGCCCGCACAGCCCCAGAACAAGCTCAGCTCCCACCACAGGTCTCGGAGCCCAGCTCTCTGGGGGCAGGAGGGGGGGCACCATCCGCCTTTCCCATGGCTGCCTCTGAGTACTTTGAATTTCATTAGGGCAATTATTTCAAATGGAATTAAAAGGGTTTAAAATTAGACCCTAAACTCTTAACAATTAGTGACGCAGCGACCTGCCATCCGCAGAGCCACAATAGACCTATGTCGATTGGTACGTGAGCACAATGCGGTCTCCAGATTTGCATACACTATTACAATAAACGGCTTTTAATAAAATGAATATTCTTAATTACCGCTGCATTAATAAGCTGCAAATTAGTCATCATTAAAGGCCCCACGGTGCCTCCCCACCTCTCTGAGAGTCGCCGGTGGACTTCACAGCTCCGCTGCTTCTGCCAAGTCTCAAGTTTTCCTACGGCCTCTTGGGTGGCGGGTTGGGGTTGAGCCCCCAGTTGGCCTCAGGCCAGAGATTTGAGTACTGGATCCTTTCTGCTGCCCCAGCTTGGGACTTACCATGTTCTCCAGGCCTGGGCAGCACCATGTCAGCTTAGGTCCCTCCAACACCTTGACCACATCATTTATTCACCCGTTATCCATCCATTTGTTCCACAGGCACCGTGTTGGGCACTGGGGATGCTCCCTGACAAGTTATTCAGCCTGGGAGCTGGGAGCAGCTCCAGTGAACAGGTATTTCTTACAGGAGGCTGAAAACTGCCCCAATCTGATTTCTGGGGCATTGAACTCCACCCAGCTCAAGGAACAACAAATCCTGGGCAGGAGTCCTAGAATCTTATCCTTGGACAAGAGCCCTAGAATCTTCCCCAAGTCACTGTTGAAGCTTGAGCCTCCATTTCCCCATCTGTACAGTGGAGGCCGTGGTCAACAATGACCAATAGCCGTCATCCTTTCAAAATATTCTTGTAAATATTTTAGGCTTTTGGGTCCTGCAGCCCCCGTTGCAACTACTCAACTTGGCAAAACAGGCAGGATCTGCACTGGGCCCATGGGTCAGTCGTTAGCTGACCCTGGGGCTGGGCGGATCATAAAAGCCCTGGCAACCTTGGGGCTCTGTTTGTCTCTAAGAGGGCTCTTTCTCCCTCAGAAGTGTAGGGGGAAACTTGGGGCAAGATTCCACAAAGACCCGTTTAGACTGAATTATAAGCTGTTTCATCACGGAAGATGATGTGTGGAATGGGACAGGGCAGTCGCTTTCCTGTTCTATGCCATTCCCACCAACACACGCACACTGCAGTGGACTAAACAGTGGCCTCCAACAGTCCCAGAGTCCCCTCCCTGCAGCCTGCGAGGGCTGCCCCTGAGGTAAAGATTTCACAGATGTGATTAAGCCAAGGATCTTGAGATGAGGCGATAATACTGGCTTCTCTGGGTGGACTCTAAACGCCACCACCAGGGTCCTTTTCTAAAAGAGGTGAAGAAAAAGGAGACATGGAGGAAGAGAAGGTGATGGAAAGATCAAGGCAGAGACTGGAGCCAGGAGGCTCCACGCACAGGAATGCTGGCAGCCACCAGGAGCTGGAAGGAGCAGCCAGGGAGACCTATCTGCCAGGGGGACTCAGAAGGAGATGTGGCCAGCTGGTACCTGGACTTCAGCCTAGGGAAACTAATTTTGGATTTCTGTCCTCCAGAACTGTAAGAAAATGCATTTTTATTGTTCTAAGTCACCAAGTTTATGGGAATTTCTTACAGCCGTTATAGGAAACTAATACCCATACCTTTTCTGTTATAGTAGACTCTAATGTTCCCTAGGCCTCTATTAGCTTTTTTTTTTTTTTTGGCTAAAAGGAGAAATAGTAGTAATAAAAACCCTTTTTGGGAATCGGTGCACTGTGATTTTTATTGATAAAACACTTTCATGTGCATGGAGAAGCTATGTGAGGAAGATGCTGGATTTCATTCCATAGCAGAACTAGACTCTTGGAAATGTCAAGGGCTTGGCCCAAGATCATGCTATTAACAAGTGTCACCATTGGAATTTGAACCTAGATCTTTTGATTCCAAATCTACGCTGCAGTCCAAGTTGAAGGCTATGTTCGACACAGGGAAACAGGAACTACGGGAGGTTGAATTGCACTTTGGGAAAATTCTGTCTTTGAAATGGAATATTGCTTGGGTCTCCAGCCAAGGCCAGGTTCAAGTTTAGGCTCTGAGGAGGATGTATTGTGTGTCTCGTGTCTGGGAAGAGGGCAGACTCCATCTGACAGCAGCTTCCAGCAGGTGACAAGTAGATCCAATGAAATTTGGACGCACCCGGGAGGCAGGGCTTCTGTGAACCCGGAGGTGACTCTTTCATGTAGGCCTTTCCACGCCAAGTGTGAAAATCTCAGGCAGGCCTGGGGTGAATGCCAGAGAGGGCAGCTCTGATATCCGCTAGTCCAGAACTCTCTCCCCGACAACACAGCTGGAGAAACCAGACAGCAGGTCTACTAACAAACTGCCCGGTATGTGCTGGCGGGAGGAGCAACAATCCCAGACAGGAAGTCACCTTGTTAAAAATCTCTAGTTTGCAACCAGAGTCATGGCGGCTACAGAAAGGGATCCCCCAGTCCCCATCTTTCTTTATTGCAAAACCCAAATGAGTCCGTTAACTTAGGATTCTCTAAAGACCACAAAAGTATTGATTGAGAGTGACTGAACAACCCACAGTAAGAAAGGATAATGTATACAATTTATTATACATTTAATCCAAGCACATTTATTTCCAGCAATCACAAATGATGTATAGTGTGGTGTTCTAAAGTTGGAGGACTGAAAACTACCTGATTTCCAGCCTTATTATAAAACTAATAGTAATCAAGATAATGTGGTATTTGCATAATGATACACAGAGAAGTCAATGGAACATAACAAGAGTCAAGAAATAGACCTATACATATATATTCAATTGATTTTTGAGGAATGCACTAAGGTGGTTGAATGTGGAAAAGGATGGTCTTTTCAACAAATGCTGATGGAATGACTGGAAATCCATGTGGGAAAAAATGTAAACCTCAACCCCTACCTCACACCATATAGAAAAATTAACTTGAATGAATCATAGACCAAAAAGTATGCCCTGAGACTACAAGCTATAAAAAGATACGACCAACTTACTAATGGACGTGTATCTGGAATATACAAAGGACACTTATGACTCAATAAGAAGACAAACAAATCAGTTTTAAAATGGGCAAAATATTTGATCAGACATTTCCCAGACAAAAATATACATATGGCCAATGAACATACAAAACCAAGCTCAACAGCATGAGTCACCAAGAAAATGGAAATTAAAACCCCACTGAAGTTCCACTCACAGCCACTACAATGGCTGGGATTTTAAAAAGGGCTCAGTTCGTCAGCACATATGCTAAAACTGGAACAATACGGAGAAGATTAGCATGGCCCCTGTCCGAGGACGACCTGCAAATTCATGAACATTCCTTTTTCTTTTCTTTTTTTTTTCTTTTTTCTTTTTTTGCTATTCGTGATATGAGACAGACAACTGCTGTGGGTGTCATCAAAGCAGTGGTCAAGAAGGCTGCTGGAGCTGGCAAGGTCACCAAGTCTGCCCAGAAAGCTCAGAGGGTTAAATGACTATTACCCCTAACACCTGCCACCCCAGTGGAAGAACGGTCTCAGGACAGTTTGTCTCCATCGGCCATTTAAGTTTAATAGTAAAAGACTGGATAATGGTAACAGTGCATCGCAAAACCTTCAGAAGGAAAGGGAAATGTTTTGTGGACACTTTGTTTTTGGTGTGTGGCAGTTTTAAGTTATTTGTTTTTAAAATCAGCTCTTTTTAATGGAAACAACTTGACCAAAATCTGTCACAGAATTTTGAGACCCATTAAAACAAAAGTTTAATGAGAAAAAAAAAAAAGACTGACAATAGCAATTGTTAGTGAGTGTTGGAAGCAACTGTAACTCTCATACATTACTAATGGAAGGTATAAAATTGTTTGACCACTTTAGAAAACAGTTAACACAGTTTCTTACAAATTAAACATTATACTTATTTTATGATTCAGTAATGCCTAGGTATTTACCCAAGAAAAATATATGGTTACAGAAAGACTTGTACATAAATATCCATAGCAGTTTTATTGAAGATAGCATAAAACTGGCCACAATCTGAATGTCCATCAACAAATGGGAAAATAGGAAAATGTTGATACATCCACACTGTGGAATACTACACAGCAATGAAAATGAGAACCACCATTTTACATGTTACATGCTCTAACTTGGAGAAATAAGACACACTCAAACCTACTCTGTGAATTCACATGTGTAATGTTGTAGGATGAAAGAAACTAATCTGTAATGAGAGAAATAACATCAGTAGTTGCCAGAGAGGAAAAATTGGGCAGTGACACTTGGAAGGAGCACAAGGATATTTTGGGGGGGAGATGGAAGTGTTCTGTATATTGATTGGTGTGGTGGCAACACAGGCATATACATGTGTAAAGTTTCAAATTGTTTCATTTTATTGCATGTAATTTATTACCTCAATGAAATTATGTATGTGTATGTATATTCACATATATCAAATATATACCAAACGTGTGTATATATGTGTGTATGCACATATATACACATATGTATATTTATATATCTGTGTACACACTCATACACATATGGTGTGTTTTGATAATTAATCTCTGTGTCTTCTTCAAAAGAAACCAGTAAAAGCTCACACCTGGATGTGGACGTGAAGACAAATTCAGCCCAGAGTGTTCTTTCTCTTGGGCCACTCAGGCTCTCGGGATCCTCTACACATGTGTGGTTCCCGCTCCTGTTCTCACGCTGCCTGGGCTGGTGCACCACTCCCTTGTATGAGGGGCCTTTTCCCCCTTAATTCTGAAAATCTCCAGCCTCAGTTTGAGGTAGATACTGGTTGGGGGGATAACACGAGAGGCGCGCTCCACCGAGACTTTAGAATCAACTCGGGGATCCTGGCACCGAATGGGCAGAGCCGGAAATCCCAGATCCGTCTTCTTTGAGGCTGATTAAAGGCTTAGACAGGTGGGCGAATCACCTCCTGGTATTTCTCCCTCCATCCAGTCTCTGGCCAGCTGGACACCCTCGGCTTCCTACCCACGAGGGCAGCCCTGCTCCTTAGGTGGACTCTACATAGAGGAAGAGGGAATGCCCGATGCTGAGGACAGCTGCCCCCACAAAGAGCAAACATGGAAGGGGCTGAGCCACACTCCGTCCTCCTTCCAACTCTCCCAGATAAGTCTGGGAGGGACGAGGAGCACGTGAGGAATAGCGGAGACCAAGGGCACAGACAGAGGAGAGGTGAGACCGGAAGGAGGTGGCCAGCTGCAGGGCCTATAGTGACCACCTGTTTCGTTTTCTCAGGAACCATCCCCAATGAGACTTATCCTAAGTCGGCCACCATGGAGAACTCACGGACAGCGCCCCTTTCACCCTCAAGCATGTCCCCATTTGGACAATGAAGGACAAAGTCATGCCACCTACCTGTCACATGGAGAGGCCTTCGCTATCCCCCAGGGCTGACCACACACGCCTCTGCCTCCTGCCTACTGCCCTCTATGTTGAAGGCCCTCTAGCTTTTTTTCCTCTCCTGGGCTCTCCCAGCCTCCAAGTCCTGCTCACACTGCAGGGTTAGGAAGAGTTTTTAAGTCTGATTTTCTCTGGTCACATAAGATCCTCTGGGCAGCCAGGCAGGGTGGCGCATGCCTGTAATCCCAGCAACGTGGGAGGCTGAGGCAGGAGGATGGCAGGTTCGATCACAGCAATGTGGTGAGCCCCTAAGCAACTTAGTACGACCCTGTTTCAAAATAAAAAATACAAAAAGGCTGGAAATGTGACTCAGTGACAAAAAGCCCCTGGATTAAATTTCTAGTACAAAAAAACAAAAAAAGGTCCCCTAGACAAATTCATGCCAGCTCTGGCGTTTCTTGGGCATTACCATGAAATGCTTCTGCCGCTCTGGGCTTTGCTGTCTCACCTTTCCTCTCTGCTAGGAAGGGTCTGCACTGTGTGCTGGAAGAGCCACAGAAATATATGTGACAGCTTTCCTGTCCTCACAGAGCTTCTAACCTGGACCATCGTGACAACTATGTGTGGCTCAAACACAGCGGGTGCACGGCCGAGAGCCTTGGAGGTTCAGAGGGAGATGTTCTAACAGAGAGTGGGCAGCGTGAGGACACTGCATGTCAGCACAGCCTGAGCGGGGGGCAGGCCTTCTGGAGGCAGAGACCAGGGAGAGGCCTTGTGGGCCCCTGGATGCCGCACAGTATGGTGGCAGGCCACCGGATCTTCCCCGGCCCCATCCTTGTCCAGGACTCCAGCTGGTCTCAAAAGATGTACAACAGCGGTCCTTGAAAGGGCTGTCATCTCGTCTGTGCCTTACACTGCTGCCAGAACTGTCGTCCCAAGGCACAACTTGGACATTCCACTCCCTGCCCCCGAGCTGGAAATGGCCCCCCATTGCCTTCAAAGCAGCCAGTGTCTCAGCCTGTCATTTAAGAGAGCTCACCTGTGCCCTTCATGCTGTCTTCCTCCTCCAGGCCGTTCCCTTTCCCTGGCTGCACCTCCCCTCTTCAGAGGGTGCATCTCCGATTACAGAGGTCCTCATTCTCTAAGAATCGGCACAAATGCTCCTTCTCCCTTGGGCCCCTGTGATTCCTCCAGGCTGCAGGAGCCATTCCCACCCTCTTCCCTTGAGGCCTCCTGCTCCGGTAACACTTGCCAGTCTGCCTGTCCTTTAATCCACTGGCTTTGTGTGCCACCCCCTGCCACACCATGCGAGGGTGGAACTAGGTCCTTCCTATCTTCATCTTCAAGGACTCAGAGCAGGTGATTGGGACTCAGAGCAGGTGATTGGGAGGTTCCGATGGGTCTTATGGAAGGTCTGTAAGACAGATGCCCACAGCTCATCAGCATCAGCACCCTTCCACCTACTTGCCCTGTGCCCCAGGGCCCCAGGAAGTGCCCTCAGTCACTAGGCAGGTCTTTCCTGTGGGAGTGTGCAGGAGAACCACCTGGCACTGGAGGCTTGCATTCGTGCTTTGGGTAGAACTGCAGGGAAAAAATGAAATATATTAGCTCACTGCTTGATCTCTGCTCCCCTAAAGCAGAGCCAAGTCCAAAGTGAATATTGATAACTTTACAAAGCCCAGTGTTTGGTATGCACTGAAAACCATTGTGTATTCCCTAAATAGTTCGTTTTGTTTTCGAAAGTTCTAAAAAACTCACTGTATTGAAATGCATGTTGTTGCATCGATTTTTCTAAAATACACCTTGTTATCTTTTCTTTGGTAATTGGTGACTGGTAATGACTTTGGCAATTTAACATGTTCTTGCAGACACTTTTCCCATTCCCCTTGATAACTGAAGTCAGGAGCGAGGGCCTGTCTGTCAATCTCTGACGCCTGTCAGCTTGCATGATTGACGGTTTTTGGTCCCACAATAGAGACCATTTTTGCAGCCCCCGTTCTGTTATTTTCCCCTCCTTTAATACTTGTGGGGGATGGTGTTTGCTTTATAATCTGCGTTTAAAATCCAACTTGGAATGAGGCCAGCTCCAGAGAAATTATCACAATGTCTTGTTAGCTTTGCATCAGGAAAATTCCCACGAGAGTTCCTTAAGCTATGATTCCACCTTCTGAAATTACCTCTGCTCAAAAAACCTAAGCTTCAGCCTTCATCCTGATCCCTTCAAATTCCAGGAGAAAGGCCGAGGGGTCTGCCCAGCCATGCTCTAATAGAGGGCACGACCAGGGGGACCGTGTGCATCTGGAGTGGAGCCGGGCCATCCCCTCTCCCGGGGCCTCGGTGTGTAAGCCCCCACATAATGAATGTGGGTCTGCGTGGCGGAGCTCAGCAGAAGAGACAGCGCTGCGGCTCTGCTGGGCAATTAGATTCCTCAAAAACTAGAGCAGGCAGGAGCCTCTCCCAGCTAAGGGGAAGCAGCGGTCGGCTCAGTGTGGCTCCGCCAGGTTGCATGAGTGCCAGAACCTTTAGGATAAGCAACTAAAAAGTGAGATCAATGAGGGGCAAAGATGTAAGTGCTGACATATTTCCCTGGGGTTGGGAAATATGTTAGGGGTTCACAGATCCGTTTTAGAATCTGGTGAAAATTATCACACACACACACACACACACACACACACACAGAGAAAAAAAAATGTGTGTCTCTTCATGCACAAATCCTGCCTGTGATTTCAGGAAAACCCATCCTCTGCCCAGGGTTCTTGGTTCTCAGCTGAGAGCTCATGCTGCGTGTGAAGGGAGCAGGGGGCTCTTCCCAGCTTCATGATTCTGCAATGTGGGATGCTGATGTGGGGTTGGTTACGGGGCTGAAGTCTGTACAAGGCCAACTCTTACAACCAAGGGCCCTTGGTAGGAGCCTCCTATAGTGAGCAGGGTTGGTCAGGGAGGCCTTGCACTGGGGCCCAGGCCTGCCAACGTTGCCTGCC